ACTACTACTCTAGCCACAGCTGCCCTGGGGCACACTGACAGAGGCGAGGCAAACAGTATGTGCCATCGGCCCCTCCGACCACCACCAACCATTCACACACACACACACCAGACTCATTCAAGGCAATGGACACAACGGCAGATTGGCACTTTACAGCCGCAGCCACGCCACTGTGCCTGGTGTTCCCAGAGGTTAAGTGTCTTGCCAAGGACACAACGACAGCAGACATCAGTGGGAGTCGGTGGAGAAAGTCTTGTGGTGGGCTCGAACCCACAACCTTTTGGCTCAAAGGCCAATGCTCTACCAACTGAGCCACTGTCGCCCTAAAGGTTATGAAGTGTTCATGAGTCCAAAAGCAGAGGGGGAGAAACTGTTCTTATGGCAGGAGGTTCTGGTACGAATGGACTGTAGCCTTCTACTTGAGGGAAGAGGTTGGAACAGTCCATGTGTAGGGTGAGAGGGATCGGCTGTGATACGACCAGCCCGGCCTCGAGCTCGGGCGTAGAGGTGATGACCATCCAGACATCTATGTATTTTAATTATTCAACTTAACCCCATTGGTGTTATTGAAAGCCAATAGGAGTAGTAATTTGCACTTCACGGGGATCCTATTAAAGAAAACAATACATTTCATGGTGGATCTATGATAATAATACAGATTTAAAACATTAAGCTTCTGTTTTATTCCCCCACGGTGTCTGCGACAAGGACACACAACTTGAAAAACAAACAGTTTGACATCTAGTTTATATTTTGTAAATCTTTTACAATTGAAACCCCCAAACCTCAAACAAAATGATCTATATTATGAAAGATTCCATTCGTCTTCCCAACACAGTTTTGGAGCAGCTGAGTTACTGCTAAAAGTCATCTTCGTTTCAAGGCTCCTCTTCCTCAGATGCGGAAGGATTTGGAGAGAATTATGCATGAGCTGATCAAGGGTGAAGGACAGGAGGCTCGCAGCAGCCTCCTCACAGACAGACAGACAGATATGGACAACTGGCGGATCGACACATATACATATATGGTTATATGATGCAGTGGACCATCTCAACTCAGCACTAAATATGAAGAGGTAATTGTGCTGCATTGCAACAAACAGTAACAATAATGTTTTGTTGTATAAAAGTATTTAACATTATTTTGTCAATTCACATACATACGTACATCACATACAGCTGTTACTTTTTAAATCTGTTCCCAGAACAAAAGGATTTTTTCAAAGTTCAAATGTATAAAACAATGAAACTCAATGTATCGCCTGAAGATTGTTTTCCCCTGGCAGAACTTTAAAACATGTGGCATTAGTGTGCATCAAGAGCTGGATTCTATTTATACAAGGTGAAGCAGCTATAGAGCAGAGGAGCCTGAGACTATTGTGCCAAAGAAGCACATTAAAACTATGCCATGTTGAGCTTTTCATTCAAATCCTGGAACCTGAGGCGAGGAAACATTGAGAGCTTACTTCACTGACATTCAACCTTGAAATGTTATCTCTAGTCAAAGGAAGAAACAACTATAAAAGAGCACTAAGATGGAACACAGTTGGTATCATGAGGAAGGGCGTTAAATTACAGAGATATATATTTTTTAGGGATGTCAAAATTATTACGTTAACGCAAGTTTCTACATTTTTGTTCATTAATCGCGTAAAAAAAAACCCGCATTTAACACATCTGCCAAATGACCCGCCTATAAGAGGGTCTTTGTTTACACCCGCGTGCACATGCCCCTCTCGCTGGGTGGCAAGAAGACAGAGCGGCACATACTGAAGCATGGATGCGACGAGTACTCTTAAAAGACTCAGTGGGTGAATAGCACTGTATATAAGCACTTTAACGCAAGAAGATCAGAGGAGATATAAAGACAAGCTAAAAATAAGTATATGAGACCGAATTGAACAAAGTCAAAGCCCATATGAGACCTGAGATGACGAGAAGAAACATTGGTCAGACTCACCTCTTTTGGCACCGATCTGCTTGGACTGGGACTCGGAGACATGTTTTCTTACTTCCTAGAAAACCCAGGACCCTTCACTCAAGAGGGGTACGTGGTGAAAATCAGTTTTTCACCGCGGTAGAGTGGCCCAGCATTTCGCCACACATTAAAAGCGGGTTGCCCCTTTTTGCTGTTACTTACGGTAAAGGTGGAACAGGAAGCCGCGGGGATGAGAAACCAAAATCCAATTTTTAAAATTAATCATCATTCATGAACGAATGAATGAATGAACAATTACGCAGTGAAAGAAGTTGCAAAACTTTAAATTGTTTTTGAATTTTTATCCCCTCATCCCCCCGGCTTCCCGTTCTACGTTTACCGTAGGCAACAGCATAAAAGAGCAACCATTTTACCGCAGCCGTTCTTTGCTGTTCTTTTCCGAAAGAATTAGAAAAAAAACCTAATCCGTCCCCAGCGGGCCGTACAACCGACCAAACAACAAGAACGAATCATTTGATATTGTAAAACCTCTCTCCAAACGTCTGAAAACAGCTAACTCTCTAGCATCCAGGTAGCTTTCTCTGCTGTATTGCCACCCGCTCACGTGACCGGCGCGGAAAAACTATAAACAACAACGTCACTCCAAGATCCTCCTACATGCATCCCATAATAACAATCAGAAGTGACGCTCACAGGCACAAGAAACCCTCCTACTCTCTCCTCCCACGGAGCCATGTAGTTTTAGTAGTGATCCGATAGGCAAACATTAGCATTACAGTAGCACAACTTCTTGTAAGCTGTACAACAATCACTGATGAAATGGTACAAAAGCAACGCACTGCTAACAAAATATATAACTGAAAGATTATCGCTAGTTTCACGTTCAAATGTAGTCTGAGCATAGATAGTCCGAGACGGTCCTGCTCCAGCAGGTCTCTCCTGAGGATTTGATGTAAGCTAGCTATGTTCATCCGGGATTGATTTCTTCTTTATCATACACAGCCGGATCAATGAGCTATTTTTTTTTTCAATTAAATTACGGGTTTTAATACAACTTTGAATACATCTTAAAACAATACTGTCTTCTACATAAAGACAGAATGTTAATAATGGTAATGCCGTTTTATGTGGATTTATTGTTCTAATGAACAAATACAGTACATATGTACACTATGTTGATATTTATCTTTCCATTCAAACAACTACTTACAGAAAAATATGGCATAATTTTGCCAATAGTTTGAAAAGCGATTAATTACGATTAATACATTTTTAAAGGCGCTATACCCGTTTCTGCAAGGTTTGAATGTTTAGCACCGCCCCCCAACTCGTTCACAGGCTTTTCATTTCCCTTACGCTCTCATCCCATGGAGCCATCTAGTTGAGTGGCTGCATAGACTATGCAGCCACTATATGCTCTCCTACTGTTTATTTTTCTTCTTCTTCTTCTTCTTCTTCTTCTTCTTCTTCTTCTTCTTCCACTTCCGCCAGATTTTGGCACTTTTCAACTCTTCAACGCTTTCACCAAATTCAACAAATTATACATCGTTACGACCGGCTTCACCGTCTCATTATTGCTATTACTTTTCACACTTCCACCTTTAGCACTTTTTCAGATATTAAAGGCACACCGTGTAACTCTTGGCCACTAGGGGCGCTAGACCTGCAACTTTCACGTTTAGCGCCCCTAGTGGCCACAAGCAACTCAGCACTGTCGCAAAAGTCAAACAGTCAGCCGGTGTCTTTTGAGTGTGTATTCAGACAGCATGCACTGGTGTGTGTGTTCAAACTGTAGAGACATGCCTACAGATATTGAGAGACTCTGCTGTGGTCAGCCTCCAGACCGCTGCATTAGTAATCTACCACACACGGACTTCTATATCCTGGATGAGGGAGTTCTGCGTCTAGCTCGTGCTGCGTGGAATGACATCTTTGCGGTCGATGACATCCAGGAACCAGGTGAAGAGCAGCGCTCATACAGACATGCAGCTTACAGCACGATCCCTTTCGCGTTTCCTCTTTTTAGCCTCCTCCGAAGGTTTAAAATTTTCCTTGCCTCAGCCATGACCACGAGTCGAGCAGGTGAAAAATGAGTAGCAAAAGCCTTAGCTCCATGAGTATATCAGCGCCTGTAGCCGTAAAGCAAAGTCTTTCTTCCAAGCACGTGACCTGGTGGCAGACGGTACGTGCCGTTGCTCTTTTTCCCATAGACTTACAAAAGTTCAAGCACTGGACCAGTACAACAGATTACTCCCCATACAACACATTACCACACTAACAATTCATTACCACAGATACAATACATTACAACATCTTACAACACTTACAGCACCTTACAACAGATTTAGCACTTTACAACACATTTAGCACTTTAACACAAATTCAACACCTTACAACACATTTAGCACTTTAACAACAAATTCAACACCTTACAACACATTTAGCACTTTAACACAAATTCAACACCTTACAACACATTTAGCACTTTACAACAAATTCAACACCTTACAACACATTTAGCACTTTAACACAAATTCAACACATTTAGCACTTTACAACAAATTCAACACATTTAAGACTTTAACACAAATTCAACACCTTACAACACATTTAGCACTTTACAACACATTCAACACATTTAGCACTTTACAACACCTTGCAACACATTTAACATCTTACAACACATTTAGCACTTTAACACAAATTCAACACATTACAACACATTTAGCACTTTAACACAAATTCAACACATTTAGCACTTTACAACAAATTAAACACCTTACAACACATTTAGCACTTTACAACAAATTCAACACCTTACAACACATTTAGCACTTTAACACAAATTCAACACATTTAGCACTTTACAACAAATTCAACACCTTCAGCACCTTACAACAAATTCAACACCTTACAACACATTTAGCACCTTGCAACACATTCAACACCTTACAACACATTTAGCACTTTACAACACATTCAGCACTTTACAACACATTCAGCACTTTACAACACATTTAGCACTGTTCTTCCCCTTCTTCCTCTTCTTCTCCTTCTTCCCCTTATTCCTCTTCTTCCTCTTCTTCCCCTTCTCCCCCTTCTTCCCCTTCTTCCTCTTCTTCCTGTTCTTCCACTTCTTCCTGTTCTTCCCCTTCTTCCTCTTCTTCTCCTTCTTCCCCTTCTTCCTCTTCTTCCTCTTCTTCCCTTCTTCCTCTTCTTCCCCTTCTTCCTCTTCTTCCTGTTCTTCCACTTCTTCCTGTTCTTCCCCTTCTTCCTCTTCTTCTCCTTCTTCCCCTTCTTCCTCTTCTTCCTCTTCTTCCCTTCTTCCTCTTCTTCCCCTTCTCCCCCTTCTTCCCCTTCTTCATCTTCTTCCTCTTCTTCCTCTTCTTCCCCTTTTTCCTGTTCTTCCTGTTCTTCCCCTTATTCCTCTTCTTCCCCTTCTTCCTCTTCTCCTTCTTCCCCTTCTTCTTCCTCCTCCTCTTCCTTCTTCTTCTTTCCTCTTCTTCACTTTTCTTTCTTCTTCCTTCTTCCCCTTCCTCTTCTTTCTTCATCCCTAACCCTTCCAACATCTATGCAGCCACTCACAATGGCTTCAGCATGCTGTACCATTTCTAGTTTAATTAAAAGCATTAGAATATATTATAATATTGAATTATAATTTATTATACAGCTCCTCACAGCAGCAGTAGAACACTCCATTGACTTGAATGTACTATACAACGATTCTAGCCGATCTTTTTTTTTTGATAACGGAACTCTCAAACCAATAATGAACCGCTGCCCTTTGGCAACGTAATCTCTGTTAAGCTCGCAAACGAGAAAAAAAAAAAACATCTGCTGGCAATAGCAGATGTATTTTGAAACTTCATAAAACCACAAGCTATAATATCATTTTAACACTTATTTTCTCAGCTATATTTATATGTAAGTGTACACAATATCAGACTTTGTGTAGCCTCCAAACACCTTTAGTTTGAGCAAACACAGTAGGACACGACTTTGTCGCTGCGCATGATGTGAGCTGTGTTACGTGGATGATTTTGATTGACGCTGCAATGACTTGGGTCCAAAATACTTTCGTTTATTAAACATATTTTATAATATCCAAAACACATTTAACACGTAGTCCTTTTGATTCAAATCAAATGCTAATTAATATTTAAGGGCTTTTATATTTGCTCAAAAAAAAAAAAAAATCTTTTTTTTTTTTGTTTGTGTTGGAATTCTTCTTGCGGACCACCCCAAGGGGGTTTCCGCGACCCTCCCGGGGGGGTTTTAACAGGGGGGGCTTGTTAAAAGTATTATGATGCGAGGGTACAGTTCGTTGTCCCAGTCGCAAGTATTTCGCGATTGTAGCGCTGCCTCACCTGTACATACCAACTCGTGAAAAAGATCCGCGGTGTTGGAGCTGGGGGAGATGACGTTTTACTCAGCCAACCACGGACCTGGGTTGTGGACAGGCTCATTCTTTCTTGCAAAAAAGTAGAATGAGCATGCACAATATTTCAGAGATCTTTATGTTTGTTGTTAATGATAAAAGTTACATTTGTTTATCCTTGAGAAGTAGTTCTAGTTAGTGCTATATGTCTGCCACAGGCATGTTTAATTTTTTGTATATTCACCCGTTATGTGAGGAGCTAAGAGAGGATTAATTTTTATTTTTTATTGTAATGTTATATGTTACAAATATGTAGGTATCTGATTTTCTTAATCAGAAAATTTTAAGCTACTGTGAAGTTGATGTTGCACTTTTGCTTAAACCTGGGCTAAAGTTGAAAATTCGTTGAATAACTGAGCCTCATTTACTTGCATTTTAACTCTTGAGGGACAATCACAGCAATAAATTTGCACTTTTGACTAATATATCTGATGTTCCATTCATTTTTAAGTGCATTGGGGGAAAAAAAATCGAATTGAATCGAAACTTGAATTTTTCTTTTAACAAATCGGAGATTTTTTTTTTAGGCAAAATCGTCCCAGGCCCTAACATACAACACATTTAGCACTTTACAACACATTCCAAAAAAAAAACAAAAAAAAACACCTTACAAAACACATTTAGCACTATACAAACACATTTATCACTTTACAACACATTAACGACTTTACAACACATTCAGCACTTACAACACAATTATCCTTACAACACATTCAGCACTTTACAACACAATCAGGCACTTTACAAACACATTAGCCCATTTCAACAAATTCAACACCTTACAATACAAATTTCAACCCTTACAAACACCTCTTACTTCCTCTTCTTCCCTTCTTCTCTTCTTCCTCTTCTTCTCTTCTTCCCCTTCTTCCCTTCTTCCCCTTCTTCCTCTTCTTCCTTTCTTCCTCTTCTTTCCCTTCTTTCTCTTCTCTCTTTTCCTCCTCCTCCGTTTCTATTCTTTCTCTTCATTTCTTCTTTTCTCTTCTTTCTCTTCTTCCTCTTCTACCTCTTCCTTCCTCTTCTTCCCCTTCTTCCTCTTCTTCCTCTTCTTCCTTTTTCCTCTTCTTCTTCCCTTTTCCCTTTTTCTTCTTCCTCCTCCTCTTCCTTCTTCTTTCCTCTTCTTCCCTTTTCTTTCTTCTTCCCTTCTTCTTCCCCTTCCTCTATCCTTTTCACATCCCTAACCTTCCAACATCTATGCAGACACTACAATGGCTTCAGCCATTGTACATTTCTAGTTGAGTGGCTGGCATAGACTATGCAGCATATATGCTTTCCTACTGTTTATGGAGTGGCTGCATAGGACTATGCAGCCACTATATGCTCTCCTACTGTTTATTCTTCTTCCATTCCGCCAGATTTTGGCACTTTTCAACTCTTCAACGCTTTCACCAAATTCAACCAAATTATTACATCGTTACGAACGGCCATTCACCGTCTCATTATTGCTTTCTTTTCACACTTCCACCTTTAGCACTTTTTCCAGATATTACAAAGTTCAAGCACTTTTTCCATAGACTTACATTGGACAGTACAACAGACTTACTCCCCATCCCAACCAATACCACACTACCAATTCCTTCCCACATATCCACATACTATACCTCAACTTACAACACTTACATCACCTAACAACACATTTAGCACTTTACAACCCATTCAACACCTTACAACACTAACAGCACCTTTACAAACACATTTCTCGCACTTTTTACACAAATTCAACAATTTAGCCATTTTACAAACCATTCAACACCTTAAAACAAATTAATCTTACAACACATTTAGCACTTTACAAACATTAGCACTTTACAACAAAATTTCCAACACTTAAAACACATTAGCACTATACAACAAATTCAAAACCTTTTCAAACACATTTAGCATTTACAAGTTATTTAGCACTTTACAAACACTTTCAGTCCCTGTACACACATTTCTTCTTACTCTTCCTCTTCTTTCCCTTCTTCCCCTTCTTCCTCTTCTTCCTCATCTTCCTGTTCTTCCCCTTCTTCCTCTTCTTCCCCTTCTTCCTCTTCTTCCTCTTCTTCCCTTCTTCTCATCTTCTGTACTTCCCCTTCTTCCTCTTTTCCCCTTCTTCCTCATCTTCCTCTTCTTCCCCTTCTTCTCTTATTCCTGTTCTTTCCTCTTCCTTTCCTTTTTCCTCTTCTTCCCCTTCTTCCTCTTCTTCCCCTTCTTCTCTTCTTCCTTTCTCCCTTTTTCCTTTTTCTTGCTCTTCTTCCTCGTCTTCCCCTTTTTCCTCTTCTTCCCCTTCTTCTCTTCTTCCTCTTCTTCTCTTCTTCCCCTTTTCCTCTTCTTCCCCTTCTTCCTCTTCTTCTCCTTCTTCCCCTTCTTCTTCTTCCTCCTCCTCTTCCTTTTCGTCTTTCCTCTTCTTCCCTTTTTCTTTCTTCTTCCTTCTTCTTCCTTCTTATCCCTAACCCTTCCAACATATATGAGCCACTCACAAGGGCTTCAGCCATTGTACAATTTTCTAGTTCTTTCTTCCACTTCCGCCAGATCTTTGGCACTTTTTCATCTCTTCAACGCTTTCACAAAATTCAAAAAATTATTACATCGGTTGGTATTTACGGACGCGTTCACCGTCTCATTATGCTCTATACTTTTCAACACTTCCACGTTTAGCACTTTTCAGATATTAACAAAAGTTCAAGCACTTTTCCCATAGAACTTACATTGGACCAGTTCAACAGATTACTCCCCATACAAAACTCATTACCACACTAACAATTCATCACCACAGATACAATACATTACAACATCTTACAACACTTACAGCACCTTTACAACACATTTAGCACTTTTACAAAACAAATTCAACAACGTACAACAATTTTACACTTTACAACATATTCAAACCTTACAACACCATTTAGCACTTTACAACAATTCAACGCCTTACAAACACATTCAGCACTTAAAAACAAATTCAAACACCTTACATAGTGCGGGCAAAAAAGCGATTTAATCGATTTATCGATGTTGTAGCTTAAAAGGATTTTTATTTTGCAAACTCGAGTTTTTTTTTAACCAATTTTTTTTTTCTGAGTTTTTGCGTTTCGTCCCTTGTGGGTTACGTTTAGTGCGTTATGAGCCAGCCCCTCCGCCGCGTTAAACACAGTCAAAACAAGAATGGCAGCGTTGTAGTAGAGACCAGGGGTTCCCAAGTCTTTACCCGCGACCCCATCCATAAATGCCCTCGGCTAACCCTTCCTCAGCAGAAGTGGAGCGGCATTTCTTGCGGCTCGCCCTCACTGTTCTCCCTACCGCGGTTAAAGTTGGGCCCGGCTTTCCGGAGTCAGCGTAAAGAGGGTCGCACATTAAAAGCGGGCGGCCGCTTTTGCTGTTACTTTATGCGGGTTCATCCCCGCGGCTTCTCTTTCCAAAGTTACTGTCAGTAAAAGGCATAGACCGGCCACCCGCTTTTAATGTGCGGACTCTTTACCTTTGACTCCGGAAAAGACGGGCCTCTTTAACGCGCTCTGTTTACCGCTGTCCTTCTCCCTCCTTTGCCTCTCTCCCTCTCTTCGCACCATCAGCCTGACCCTGATACAAGTGACTTTTCTCTCCCTCCTCTGCCACGCTCTCCCTACACTCTGCCCTCTCTCCCTCCGCTGCCCTCTCTCCCTCCGCTGCCCTCTCTCCCTTCACCCCCCCCCCCCGCCGCTGCCCTCTCTCCCTTCCGCTGCCTCTCTCCCTCCCCGCTGCCCCTCTCTCCCTCCGCTGCCCTCTCTCCCTCCCCCTCTGCCCTCTCTACCTCCGCTGCCCTCTCTCCCTCCTCTGCCCTCTCTTCCCTCCGCTGCCTCTCTCCTCCCTCTGCCCTCTCTCCCTCCGCTGCCCTCTCTCCCTCGCCCGCTGCCTCTCTCCCTCCGCTGCCCTCTCTCCCTCCCGCTGGCCTCTCTTCCTCCGCCTGCCCTCTCTCCCTCCTCTGCCCTCTCTCCCTCCTCTGCCCTCTCTCTCTCTTCGCACCATCAGCGTGACCCCTGATACAAGTGACTTTTCTCCCCTCCGGTTTTCTGTTTGTGGTTATTAACCACGTTTCATTTTAAAGCAGGTATTATTTATTGTGCCTGCCAAAACACCTTTAAGTTTTAGCAA